GATGATCCTATCTTTAATCAACAAAAGCAGAAATTACTTTGCCCAATCCAATTTTAATCCTTATCAAGGCAACAGTAACAAAGGTAGAAAACAAAGCAAGATAAGCCATACTTCACTCATCATCAAGGTGCAGTTAAGAAAATAGCGAAACAGTTGACCTTATCAAAAACCAAAACACAGAGACAACAATGTAATTATATTTCCACGAGCTGGAATATTAGTGTCATATGCTGAAGCACAATGTACCCAGAGGCTGTTCCTACGCAGAGAGCCTCTTAGATATCAAGACGGATGCTTTCCATGTAAATCGGAATGAGAAATCCTTCAATGAGAGATGATCCTGCAAAGCTCTAGCAGTTCTCATTTCTCAACAGCCATAACCAGATAATTAAATGCAAAAATTTGGCTTTCATGTATACAGTACAGTGTCAAAGTGTCAATAATATGAATGCAAGGTTATATGCTTTTATGAAAACCTCAGCAGCATATTTCCTTCTTTTATTTATTCTGAAGAGGTAGACTTTCATAATTTCTACAGAAAACAATTAGATTCTGCTGCTATTTAAGATTAAAAAAGACATGCAATTCGACCTGAACTATTCTGCCACTTAGCTAAACCCATAATATCCCATTAAAGTAAGCTAAAATCAAAAGCTGTAACCCTGAAATTCAAAGAGTCCAGAATAAAGAGGCCAACTATGCCATAGACGCTTGTTTCTTTCCTTTCTTGCTATTGGAGGCCATGATCATTCTTGAAAGAATATCTGCTTGCTTAGTGTTTCCCTCTGCATTAAGGGTCTTGATTAAGTCTTCATAGCTATTTTTGTCTGTAACTCCTCCTTTCTCCGTTATCTTGCACAGAATTGAATATGCATTAAGAGTTTTTCCAGCAGCTAAAAGGCCATCCAAAACTTTATCATAGCTGGAGAAGTCAACACTATAATCTCTCTGTAAACAATGATCTAACAACTTCAAAGCAGCAATTGTCTTCCCTTTCTCACAGAGAATGGACAGAAGATTATCAAAGTTAGGTGCAAGTCCATTTTGCATAAGCAATTCAATTCTTCCCAGGGCTTCCTCAACATGGCCCCTCAGAAGGAGAGCCTCCAAGATTTTAGCAATCAAATCCATGTGCTCTTTCACACCCTTCTCCAGCATAGTCATCATCACCCTGCTTGCTGTTTGAACTCTTCCATCTGCAAACAAGCTCTCCATCACTGACCTATATAGAGACGAGTCTGGCAGATGACCATTTTCAATCATAGTATCCAAAGCTGATTTAGCATCAGCAGGGTCACCCTTGGTCAAGTAACTTTCGATAAGTGATACGTGAGCACTTGCTTCTGAAACAACCTTCCTCCTAACCATGATTGTCAAAAGTTCAGAAGCTGACTCAGGAGTACCTTCTTTTGAATGGCCACGAATCAGATAGTTGAAGGCAACTGGATCCTGGACACCCATTTTCATCAACTGTCGCAAAAGCATCTCAGCTTTTCTTGTCTGTCCATTGTTGCATAGATGCTCAATGACAGGATTGTAAGCACTAGGCTCCATTTGCAAAGTAGTCTGTGGTCTTAAGATGATTTCCTTCTCTATAAGCTTATCCAACAATTGAACAGCTCGTTGATACGCACCAGCCTTACAGAAATTCTCTATCAGGATACCATAATGCCCAGCCTCTGTTGGAATACTCAAGCGAATCATTGCTTTGAGCACATCAGCAGCCGCATCCAAATGACCTGCCTTGCACTGTCCAGACAGCAGTCTCGTGAAGATTGAGTCATCATTTGGAGCAATATGTCTTTCGACCATCTCCTTCAAAATCTTATCAGCTTCCGACATCTTGTCTGCATCACACAGCCCTGGCAACAAGGTTGAGTACGTAATAGCATTTGGCTTAATCCCAAATTTCTTCATTTCTTCCAGAAATCTCAATGCATTGTCAACTCCCCCAGCAGAAACAAAACCCTTAATCAAAGTCGTGTAAGTTATCACTGATGGCTCTAAATTCCTCCCCTTCATCTCCACGAAATACTTCTCAGCCTCCTCCATGTTTTTAACACGACAATACCCATTGATCATGGTATTATAAGTGACAACATCAGGTGAAATTTCCCTACTTTTCATCTCCTCAAAGAACCTTACCGCACTTTCCACTTTCGAAGAAAGGAAAAACCCCCAAATCATAAGGTTATAGGTATGCCTTGTGGGCTCAATCCCCTCCTTCAACATCTTATTAAAGTACCTCTTGGCCATCCCATACCGCCCTCTGCGCATTATAACCTTAAACAAAGCATCATACGTTTTTATCGTCCTCTGAACCCCCAACTCCTCCATTTTTTGAAACAGCTGCACACTCTCCTGCACAATGCCCGCGCTACCATAGCTCTCAATCAACAGAACCCACATATCCTCATCCCACTCGACCCCCTTTTGTGGCAGATCCAACAGAATACACCTGGCGTGATTGAGCTTCGAAGCTCGGCCTAAAATCTCAATAATTTTCAAATGGGTTTCTCTAGTATGCTGAAAAAGTCCAGCCCTTTCCACCCATCTGAAGAACTGGAGCGCGTGCTCAGAGTTTTTCGCACCATGAAGTACATTATAAACAAGTTCATGATCAAAGCTAGGAACCAAATTGCGAATAGAATTCTGTAAACGGGTAGTCCAAGCACGATTAGCCATCATTCTACAGATAATATCTTCTAATTTTTCTGGGTTTTTCTGAAGACGACGATGCTTACCTCTTGGGCTTCTGGATGGCGTTGCCGCAGGATCAACATTCCGTGTTTCTGGCCCAGTGGATTCAGTTGGTGAAATGGCCGCTGTTTCCTGATCGGGGTTACCACCTGGGGATGAGCAGAAGAAGAAGAGGGATTTTAGCGAAAGTGGGGTGGAGACATTTGAGAGGTTTCTGGGATGGAAATGAGATGGTTTCGAAGCTGAAAGATACGCCATTCTTCGAATCGATTTTTAAGGTTTTGACTTTGATCCGGGAGGGATTTGGGAAAGTGAGGGATTGAAGTTTTACGCTCAGACTCCCATGGGAGAGACAAGAGAGAGGGAGAGATGGAGTCGTGGAAAGGAAAGCAGTAACTCAAGGACTGTTAGGGTTTAAGCCTTTAAGGGAGGAGGAGTTGGGTTGGTAAAAGGTCGAGTGAACCTGGTTCATGGCCCAACCATGCACCGCGCAGTTGTTAAGCCCTTTTTTTTTGTCGAACCTCTGTTTGGCAGTTGAGTTTTTTACCAAGTTTGTCTGCTACAAGTTTTTTAAAAATTTCGTTTGCTCAGTTACAGTAGCCTCGAAATTTTTAAAAAATTTTAAGCTATATATTTTAAAATATTTAAAAATTTATATATTTTAAAATTTTTTTTAAAAACTTCAATAGTAAAGTTTTAGACAAGCACCAAAATAACTCGCTTGTATTACTTGAAACAAAAGTATTTACAAAATAAATGATGACTCGATACAATCCAATGTGCTATTAGCACAAAAGATTGGGATTAATCCATTTTATATCTTGATAATTAAGGTACTAAACTGAACATTTAGATCATTTCTATTCACTATTTCTAGGCAAAAGGAGTATTTGTAAAACAAGGAGTATTAATGTGTTGTTGTCCATGCATCCATAGGTTGGATTTGCTGTAGTAGATTTTTGTCAGAAACTCCAATGTTGACGAGTCTCCATCCCTGTTATGTTCTGCTGCTTTATTTTTCCAATTACGTTTTTATCTCACGTACATCACGTTACAAAAAGTATTACAGTAAAAATATCCCAAACAACTTACAATCCAAACAAACCATTCGAGCAAGCTTGCTTGGCACCTTCAGCAAGTTGTTGAATTTGATTCTTGCTTGTTCTTTCTCTCATTGCTCACCTCATTAGGTCCCATTCAGCACCCATTTCACTTTTTTTTTTTTTTTTTTTTTTTAACGAAGACAAAGGATTTGCTTTGTCAGCCCTTTAACTTAGGGTTCACACTTCCAAAGAATTGAATGACCGATTCAATTTAGATCGAAAATTGGATATTGGTAAAGCAGAATTCGAAAAAATTGCTTAAGGTCTAATCTTAAAATTTGGTAAAATAATTTGGGAATGAATATTGAAATACGATTCTTGAATTCCAGATCACCGATCAAAATGATCGAACTTCATATTTTAATTAAAAATATATTTCATGCCTACTAATATCATATTATTAATGTATTAATCAATAATGTTATAATTTATGCTTATAAACAAATATGTGACTTTAAAAGCATATTAATTAACATATTACTAATAACTTTTATATTATTAATTACATATTCCTAATACATTCTTAAAGTGTTTGGAAGAGCGAAAAGAAAATCTTAAAGTACTTAAACTTGGACTACGATTGATTGAGTTTATCTTTACGCTATCATTTTTTAATATGTGTCCCATATGTACAAAATGATATTAAAATTCAATTTAAAATTAAGTGACATGCATCTAATAATGATAAAAATGACAGCCGATAATTTATTATTTTTTTAACATATGCCACGTATGTAAAAAAAGTGATATTCAAATTTAATTTGAAATTAAGTGACGTACATTCAATAACAAAACCGTATATACTGTCAGTAACATTAATTCATAATTGATTATCTCGAAGCAAACATTGGCCGAATTGTTAAACCAGAAGTTGAATGAATGTATATGATTGACAGCTATTTTCGTATAATCAAAATGACAAAAAAATAAAAAGAAACAGAAAGATTCTCTCTCTCTCTCTCTCTCTCTCTTTCTTTCCTCCCGGGCGTGGCGTGGGATTAAGGGGTAGTTGGGGGAATGCAAAAGGTTCTTGAAGTTGGAAGTGACTCAAATTGTAATGCTCTTAAGCTATGGCAAACCATTAGGCACCCGCACCACTCCAGCGATAGTCCATGTGCTTGTTTAACGGACAGAAGTGGTTGGTGACAGTCAAATCTATGGGATCATTATTGTCATGGGACCATTCTTGCCGAATTGCTTATTTTCTCACTATTGTTATGGATCCCCACCAAACCAAACTCCCCCCAAGTTAGTCTTCCAATCCAACTTCCCTTCCCTGCCCTGCCTACCTAACGCCTCCTCCATCCCCATTTCCGGTAGGTAGCTGCATCAGAGCTTAAATTGAAAGAACATAAAGAAAGAAAGAGGGATTACTTCTCATCCTTGTCCCCTCTATTCTGCGGCAAAAAGAGAAATGGCTCAAGCAATCCAAGCTCCTCAATTCACTACACCTAAAGTCTCGAAACTCCAAAACCAGTATTCTTCACCACATTCTTTAATACTTGGGTCAAGAATTGCGAAAAGTTCACCAAAATATTCACGGGTTTTGAGTAGAGATTCGATGTTGACTAGAGGTAGGTCTCCTTTGAAGGTTTTTGTTTCAGTGGCCGCGGCTGAGAAGCCGTCTACTGTGCCGGAGATTGTGCTTCAGCCTATTAAAGAGATATCTGGCACCGTCAAGCTGCCTGGCTCAAAATCCCTCTCCAATCGCATTCTTCTCCTTGCTGCCCTGGCTGAGGTAATCTATAATATTTAAGAATCGTGCAGTTATACGACCCTTCTGCTAAGCATTGTAAACATGGTTCAAAGCCACAGTTGCGGTCGGTGTTGCGGCTCGAAACGTTCCACATCGATCTCGGCATATCGATCACCGTCTCGGTGAGACGTAAATTTTAAAGTATTTAATATTTTAAAATTATTAATAATATAAAAAGGTATACTAAATAAAAATAATTAAAAATTAGCAAAAGAAACAGCCAAGTCAATCCGTCGCGGCATGACTCGGCTGATTTCTCGTTTGATTAATTTTTTGTCTTGATTCGGGATAATTCAGAGTAACTCGATATGACTTGGTCGAGTCAATTCGTTGCGATAGCGGCTCGGTCGATTTCTCGACGAGTCAAGTATTTCGGTATCGTTTCGTCACGATATTGTATCGGTAGGGATCGAGAGACGGTGACGATTCGGCCGAGTCGTCTCGGTCTCGGTCTCGGTCTCAGTCTCAGTCTCTCAGTCTCGGTCGAGACCGAGACGAGACGCGACTGCGAACCATGATTGTAAAAGCTACTATGAGTGACTTTTTCTTCTTCTTTGTGCTATACATTTCTGTTTAATCATTATACTCTTGATGAATTGTTGATTTTGACTTCTTTCCTCTATAGGAATTATATATTTTTTCAAATTAACCTGGAGTTTTGATTCAGTTCATTGTGGGATGTGGAGTACGTGTGTTTGAAAGACTTCATGCAGTAGAATGCTGTATTTTACAAAAGTTGGCTAATGGAGACTGGTTAGGTTCAAGGACTGTAGTTAAAGCACTTTCAGTCAGACGATGCAAGTAATTTGGAGCGTATATTCAAAAGAACCAAATCTTGTTCAGTGTTCACTTGCTTTTATTACAGATTAATGACTGAAAAGATAAGAGGGAATGTTAAGCACCTTTTGCACTTGACTTTTCTAGTTTTGCCAAGTGTGTTGGAGATGATTCAGGATTCTAGTCATGGTGACTTTACGAGAGCTGAAAGACTCTTGAGAGCAATCTTTTGGAAGTTCATAATTGTTGTAAGAGTGCTATATAGATGCAAGCACAACTTTTAATATATATATATATATGTATATGTATATGTATATGTATATTTGTTTAGTCTATTATCTGAGATTGGAAACTTGAGTTGCAGCATTTTCATGCACTTCTGTCTCTAAATTTGCAGTTATTGGATAAAAATTTAATGGGTTCTTCATGTTTTGTCTTTAGTTGTTCTTATACGAAATTAACTAGACTTTATCTGTCTTTTACTTTGTTTCTATAAGGAAAGAAGTTCTATAAAAAATTGGTCACTAAAAGTTGTTAGAACTGATTTTCTACAATATGTGTTTAAGTCCGCCCCTCACTCTATTCTCCCTCTCCACCCATTCAGAAGAAAATAAAACAAAAGAATATGGAAAAGCAAGAAAGAAATGACATTTTCTTGTATTTGAAAAGGTGCTCCTGTAATCTTTTGCCTGCAAGAAGAGACCAAATTGTGGCATGTTTATGCTGGTTCTACAGTTCGTAGTTTCATTCAGAATTGAGAAGTTTTCCACCTCAAAACAGACCATAAGATATTGATAATTCTGTAGATTGCTCTTCTGATGGATGCAACTTAACTGTAGTCTACATTATGTTATAGTTTCGCTATCCTAACAGAATGCTCTTATATAATAATTTCGTCCCCAGGATTGGCTATTGTTTACAATAGCAACGCATACATAAAATGTTTCTAATCGCTTTTTGGTTTAGTTCTTTTACAAAGTAGTATTTCTGTTAAAGAATCACAATAATCCTCAATCTCAAGAACTTATTGGATTTCCGTTCTGCTTGTTTCCCAGGGAAGAACTGTTGTTGATAACTTGTTGGACAGTGATGATATCCATTACATGCTCGGTGCTTTAAAGACACTGGGTCTGCATGTGGAAGATAATCGCGCTGTACAGCAAGCAATTGTAGAAGGTTGTGGTGGTCTATTTCCTGTTGGTAAAGAATCTAAAGGTGAAATTCAACTATTCCTGGGAAATGCTGGAACAGCTATGCGCCCATTGACTGCTGCAGTTGCTGCTGCTGGTGGGAATTCAAGGTCCATATCCTTATTTTTCTAGTTACAAATGTCACCCAACTTTTATATATTAATATGTATGCTGCAAATTGGTTTAAAATTTTCCTCAGAAATTAGTGATTGCTCGCCATGATTGCATTTTCGGGACAGTTACTTTGTTTTTTAAATTAGTGAAGTTAAATTCAAACTGGAATTTTATGTTTCAGCTATGTACTTGATGGAGTTCCTAGAATGAGGGAGAGGCCAATTGGTGATCTGGTCTCTGGTCTTAAGCAGCTTGGTTCTGATGTTGATTGTTTTCTTGGTACAAATTGCCCCCCAGTTCGTGTAGTGGGAAAGGGAGGCCTTCCTGGGGGAAAGGTGAGTTTAACATTGTCTAAACATGCTTAATTGCTTATTCCTTGATTTAAAAGAAAAGCAAAGAGGACAATCCATGCTTTATTAATATACGCATGCATGAGAAAAGAAGAGCTGTGTAGACATTGCAGCTGACTTGTCATTCTCCACTTCTGAGACATTCCTCTTGTTAGCAGGGCAGACAATGATGTTCACCATACTCTTTTGTTTTTGTGTTTTTGGATTCTGGGCTAATGTAATTATTTTATTAATTTCTGGGGGTTGATCAGGTGCTACTGTACACCCCAAGACAAGCAGAATATCCACTATCACCTCCCCTTGTCGAGGCTCCGGCCCAATGTCATTTCGCCAATCTGTTTTCTTCTTTCAATTTGTTGTGAAGCTTGGATTAGCTTCAGTCCTGCTTCAAGAAACGGATACTTAATTAGACAATTAAGTATAGAAAATGAGAGATTCAAAGTAATGAGACTGCTTATAAATGAAATTGTAAAAGTGACCAAGATGCAAGGGGTATATTTTTGCAAAACATTTTTGCAAAGACCACCTATTTTACACTTTCTTATTGGGTTCAGCACTCAATAAGCTCCACCAGGAACTGCCAAGCATTTGGTCCTGATTTTCTTCCCCTCTTAGTAACAAAATCAAAAGCAGGACCAAAGTGTGGGTGATTAGTCTAAACAAACATGAATCTGTGAATGAGAAATACAATTTCATATATGCACAGCATTGGATGGGACAATGGTAAAATTTCTTTATTGGGTTCTTGGGTTTAGTACTGGGAATCACTATTCATTTCATCCTTGCAATTCTGCTTCTGCCTTTGAATGAAGAAAGACTTCTCACAAATGGCATGGCCTACCAAGAAAGGCATGGGACTCGTGGGGCTGGGCTCTCTTTTTCTTATCTTACTATATTTTGAAATAGGTTACTTGGATTGACGATGAACATGTATTTTGATCATCACTGGCAGGTGAAGCTCTCTGGATCTATCAGTAGTCAATACCTAACTGCTTTACTCATGGCAGCTCCACTGGCTCTAGGAGATGTTGAGATTGAAATTATTGATAAACTCATTTCTGTTCCTTATGTTGAAATGACTTTGAAACTGATGGAACGGTTTGGGGTCACTGTAGAGCATAGTGGTAGTTGGGACAGATTCCTGGTTCATGGGGGTCAGAAATACAAGTAAGTGTACTTGTATTGAGTAAAATGGACTTTAGTAGCTTGTTGTGTAGCAAGTAAAAAGATTATCATTTTGTCAGGTCTCCTGGAAAAGCTTATGTTGAAGGTGATGCCTCAAGTGCCAGTTACTTCTTAGCTGGTGCAGCTGTTACTGGTGGTACCATTACCGTCGAAGGTTGTGGGACTGGCAGTTTACAGGTAAAATGCATGCTGGCATGTTGTATCTCTCTTTTTCTTGTTCTGAAGATAATTACGTCATTCAGACAAGAAGGCCCTTTCTGCGTTATGTCCATGGTGAAAACTTGACTTTTGTCTTTTATTGAGAAGTGAATGTTGTGTTGCTGCAAACTTAAAGTATCTTGGATTTAAATAGGTTATGCAGTATCACCTTGCTAACATGGTTTTGAATGTTTTGTGCACGTAAATTGCATGGCATTCATCATCTCATTTCTTTTTGTTTCTTTCCTTTCTAAAGGGTGACGTGAAATTTGCTGAGGTTCTTGAGCAAATGGGTGCTGAAGTCACCTGGACAGAAAACAGTGTTATTGTTAAAGGACCGCGGAGGGATTCTTCCAGAGGAAAACACCTTCGTGCCATTGATATCAACATGAACAAAATGCCAGATGTTGCCATGACTCTTGCTGTAGTTGCACTTTTCGCGGATGGTTCCACTGCAATAAGAGATGGTATGAATGTTACTGGTTTACCGAATATAAGAGTTAATTAAAGCTGTTTCAAATTTCATTGGAATAACAGAAGTTCTAGATCACTGATCAGGACATAATTGGCTTTTCGTTAACAAGAAGCAAAATGCCATTAGTTTCTTGGTGTTCATAAGCTATATAATATGAATAATTTGGAATCATATTCCATAATATAATACTTTATGCAAAGTGAATTCTTTTGAGAAAACTAGGAATTCCTTGATTAATGCTGTACGGCAAGTTTAAAATAGGACTTATTGTCGTGTTAAGGATACCTCTTTGAATTCATCCTTGAAAATTGATATTTCAGTTTTCTTTGTCTACAGCATAATGTGAAAATGTTTGGATCGTATGGTAATCTGGTCTGTAACTTATGAGAACTGGATTATCTTGAACAGTACATGAGTTTAGAATCCAATAGATTTTTGAGGTTAGGATCGGTTACCAGTCCTAGCTCCGCGTCAGTATGCATGATCCAATAATCTGCTTTTAGCTTTTCTTTTCTGTTTTAATACTCTGTCTGTTTCCTTTGCTATTTCTTCATCACCCTGAGATATTTCGTCTGACTTAATTTATGTTCTCAGTGGCTAGCTGGAGAGTGAAGGAAACTGAGCGGATGATTGCTATATGCACAGAGCTTAGAAAGGTTAATTTTGTGATGCATCATTATTTTTCAATCTCACAAGCCTTGCATGTTTTCTCGAAAATTCTCCTTGTAACACTCATCCATACATTTCCTACAATTTCAGTTAGGGGCTACAGTTGAAGAAGGGCCAGATTACTGCATAATCACTCCACCAGAGAAGTTAAATGTTACATCAATTGATACTTATGATGATCACAGAATGGCTATGGCTTTTTCTCTTGCGGCATGTGCAGATGTTCCTGTAACCATCAAGGATCCTGGCTGCACACGCAAAACCTTCCCTGATTACTTTGATGTCCTTGAAAAGTTCTCAAAGCACTGAATAAACTTTTTGAAACGATATGTAGCATCACATAAAGAATGTGAACAATTTTAGAGGGCTGCTACAAGAATGGAGTTTCCAGTCTCTTTGTGCAGGAGATGTTGGATGCTTGCTGCCCCTTATCTTAGTGAGAGTGTTCAACATGGGTCAGGAAGTCAAGTTGTTTTGCTGAAGCCATGGATAGATTAAAATCTGTGTACTGGTTTAACTCAAATTCTTGGTAAACGCGTGTGTATCTCTAGCAACTTATTACATGGAAAGATCCCTTTTTGTTGGCTCTGCATTTGAATGAAAGTCATTAAAATTGATAGTTTCACATTGGATATCCGTATTATATTTACTTGGTCAGAGTCTCGCGCGGTGGGAAAGTGAAAACTTTGTATTTTGCACGAATGGACACTAAAAAGAACGTGGGACATGCAGATAGAGTTAAAGCCGTGTAGAAAACAGTTGGAAGAAAGTAGATTCCCGCAGCATGCTACATGGCAATCAGTCTGCAACTTCTTAAAAAGTTTGGTAGGCTGATGATGGGCTCTTTGTGAGCTGCCAGGCTGCTAGACAAGGAAACTTGAGAGTATTGACTTTGAATGCATTTGCCAGCAAGAGAAGCCCCGAGTCCTTTCAAAGACAGACCGTGATACTGGTTGAATGCAATAACTATACCTTCTGGAAACCAGACAAACTTAGCTGGCTTTAATCAAATGCATAGAGTCTTTCGCGGAGAAGGCAGAATTCATTTTCCTTACGTTAAGTAGGTTAAAGTAGGCATCCAAGCCCCCTGCGCTTGTTGAACTTTCAGACTTTTCTTTTACCTTTCCATGACTATGTCATAAGTTTGTTTGCACCTTAAAACAAGCAAACAGAAGAAAACAAAGAGTGCAGAATTTGGCTTCAAGAAGTTCCAGTCTTTTCTCACATTGTTTATGGAATTTTTGACAATGTGCATTTAGGAACCTGAAGAGGAGCTGAAAATCTGGGAACCGACAATAACAACAACAAATCCATCTTTTTCTATGAGCTTGTCTTCATGCTTTTCAGATCTGTAAAGTTCATTTATCTATCAATCTTGCTTGCGTGGGTTTTATTAAGTAGAAAAGCAGGGAACATGATGCTGACTTATAAAAGAAACTGCTAGGAAAGGCATGGTTCCCTTACCTTCCGCTTCAGATAGTCACATGTAGCAGACGGTGGCCGTCTCATTCATGTTAGTATTTCATATTTTTCTAGTGTTTTGCACATCGACCGCAGATTTAACTTTTCTTGTAAAATAGGATACCCAACAAACTGTCAGTTCCTGCTCTAGGAATTTATCCTACTATTTTAGTACAAGAGCACAAGCAGATTTCTATTGTTTTATACTCAGCATTTGCTATGATTTACGTAGTAGGAGCTAAGGATAGATATTAATACGTCAAAGGTGTGGTTTCTACCGTCACCAATATCACAAAAAATAAAACAAACAAAGTGATATAACACTGACATGACAAATATAGTCCAATTTCAAAACACCCCATATAGTCATTGACTGCAGAGGATCTCAATCCCTATATTACATACTGCAGAGGACCAAGGAGATGCTTTACTGCTTGGACTTTTAGTCCTAATTAATAATCCATAGATGACAACAATAGAATTATTATAAGGCGTATGGTAGCTAGTGAGGAATTTGGGGTGGCAAAACTTTTTTTAGAGTATCTTGGAGATCACTCCATTTTACTTACAAGGTGACAATGAGCTTTGAGCTGAAGGGAACTAGCACTAGCTAGTTTGGTCAAGTCTAGCAGTCTAGTGCTGTTTTTCTAACCAATAATCTGCACGTACACATTCATCACATGATGCTAGCAGTAGCCTAACCAAAATTGGGACATAAGACACTAGAAATAAAAGAGTTCTTGAAAGGGGGCTTTTGCCTTCCTTTCAAGTATTACCACACACTAAAGTGTGACAACCCCAACTCTCACATGATTTTGTCTCCTTTCCTCTCTACCATTAATTCACCTCCAAATCTCACCCGACCCACCCCCACCTCAAACTGATCAAATGCAGAGAAAGAAGATAAGGGCCATGTTTTGAAGGAAAAACCCAAGTCCAAAATTTCGGGTTTCCAGAGAAAGAAAAAATGAATGCAGCAAGCCGGTGGAAAGGAAGAAAACATATTAATTATCAATCATGCAGAGGGAAAAGATCAAAAGTCTTGCTGTCCATATCAACAGTACTGTCGAAAGTCCGCTTCTTATGAGAATTATATTCCTCATCAAAATATTCCAAGCCAGAAAAAGAAAAAGCCTTTCTTTGTTTTGATTCTCAAGAAAGATAATAGTGAAAGCATGCAATTCTTTCCCATTGATTTTGTTAGTTCCAATCCATTATACTTCTCTTCTCCCTCGTACTCATCAGCTGCTATTTGTAGTATTTTTATTTGAGAATAGCAGGATAATGTGTAGCTTTTTTGGAGTAAAACATGATACTAGAGTAAAATAACGTTATCTTTAAGAAAAATGACGTTTTCTTTTGCAGCCTGAGTATGAGTTTTTGCTTGTAGCAATGCTTGAAGAAACGTATTTAGAGATTTATATATTTTACGAAACACTAGTGAAAGTTCCCGTGCGTGCATGTTTCGGTTCTTAGTTTTGAGTTGTACTATATATTCGCCCTAACGTAAATGACATGCAGAAGTTATAAGGATGGATGATCAGTCAACGTAATGCAACAGATTTTTGCTTAATTTGTGTTTTTCTTTTTATTATTTCTTGTAACCTACCATAATCATCTACCCTTTAATGTCATTATTTCTTATGGGATCTAAAAATTTGAAGTAGTGTTTCTAATGGATATGATCATGAGGATATATAAGAGAAATGGGGGTTTGCTTCGAGCACTGAAAGTCAATACAAAATTGAAGTATCTTGAAAATTAACCTTCCAACTAATTGTTGCCCTTTTTTTGCACTCAAATAATGCTCGAAATAATCTGTAACCAGAAGATAGTAGTGCTTGTTTTTTTTTAACTTTATATTAGTTAGTTGGGCTTGTTCTAGTTTCATCAAACAGCCAAAACATGGAAAATTTTCCCTTTTGCCTCCTTCTAAGGCAATAGTAATAGGTAGGATGAATCTTGGCTGAAAATGATATATGAAAAGATGAAATCATTATTAACCTTCATTCTTTTGTTCTTATCAAAAGAACCAAATTTTATGCTTCTTTTTACCGAGTTATGACCGTGATATATATTACATATTAAGCTTGATATTATTGTCATTTTACACCAACTTATACTCATAGACTTGGTGTAGATTTTCTTTTCTCCTTTAGTAAGGTGAAAAAGAAGGAAGCAAGAAAATTGAATCCATAAGTAACACATATTGCTGGCTTACTAGCCCTTTGTAAAAGGAAAAGACAAAAATATAAAAACATCGGCAGTTGCCCTCTTCACATATTGCTGGCCATTGCAAAAATGAATTCCAAAATGTGTTATTGTGTAATTATTGTTATGTACTACATATATGTATATATATATATATATATATGACTGGCGTTACAAATTTGATTTCTTTTTCAATTATAGATAAATGGGAAATGAAGTTAGTGGTTGAGCGTCTTGTACTTGATATTCGACTCTCACCTTAAAACATGTTATAGATATAAACTTTAAACCCTAAACTTTTGTTGTACGTGAATACACGCTAAAACACGCGCACACACATATATATACATACACACTATAATAATATCCACTTATACACCCACATGCTATACTAATGTCGAGCCATATAGTATAGAATATAAGTAGGCACATACATGCACATGTTATTCTTGGCCATGAAATGACTTATGACTAGCTGTGATTTACTATAGTATTATTAGTATCCAGTTATCATGTGCAATACTTGATTCTTTTCACTGAATTCGAGAACTAATTCTTTATATTTTCAACTTTTCATAAATTGATGGTTTCTTATGGTTTTGCTTTTTCTAGAATGAATTACTGCGTTGTATCTTAAGATGTTTGGCTATGAAGTTCTAATGGAGTTAGGTCTCTCAATCATGAATGATAAAAAAAATAATTATGGCACATTTTATCATTAATGTAACTATTATAGTTACGAGAATCAGGGTGACATTATCAAAATCGGTCGTTGCATAAGGATCATATCTCAGATTTTCTTATCGCCATCAACTTAGATAATATGGGACATGAAAAGCATTATATATCACCAATTTTTTTTAAATGTCATTGCCTTCAAATCCTAGTTCTATTTCCCCTCATTTTTTTTTAATTTTTATTTTCGTGTTTGAGAGACGATCGATTCTAGTTATGTTTCATTGTTAATTTGATGGGAAATTTTTGAAACTTTTACATATAATTACTAGGATTATTCTTCCTTCAACCGAAAACAGACAAAAAAAAAAAGACATATTATTTGTTTGGATAGCCAAATAATGGCTAAAAATTATTTGTTTACATCACAAATACAATTTTCAATACATCTTTTTATCTTCACAATTATCTTTTTATCTCACATACATCACATCACATCACAAAAAATACTACAGTAATTATTTCAAATAATCTGCTATCCAAACATATTTCAACTGGATTAATATCTGAGAAAAATGAAAAAACATTAGGGTCAAAATTCAATGGTTTATTTGGATGCCATGCATGATGATGCATTGGATGAAGGGATGGACAGGAAGAAGTTACAGAACACCTAAGCTGCCTCTTGATTGATAGTGGAGTAGAATTATTTATCCTGCTCCTCTGAAAAAAAAAAAATACAGCTGTAAGTCTGTAACGTTACCCATTAAATAGGGCACACTCAATTCTTTCTCCCCTGTGTTGAACAACAACAATAATAATTACTCAATAGGTCTAATACCATAATGCTAATTTTAGCCAACTCACAATTCCTATTAATTGTCAAACCTTAAAATTATAGGAAGAAAACATTGAACATGGTCTACTCCAAAATGCTTTGAATGATTAGGTTGTTAATGAGGCAATTAAAAATTCTCAAACCCCACAAATCTCACACACCATCCCATCCAATGATATGTGAAAATTAGTAACCCCTCATAATTACCCTAAAAATTTACTCCACACAACCTCCAACAACCTCCCAAAACCAAACTTCAAATCCCAAAATCTATCCACTAAACTCAAAATAAACAAATCCCACACCAAAAAAGGGATAAATCTAACAAATCCCATACCAAACCAGCATAAAAAAAAAAAAAAAAAAGTCTTACTTACACAGGGGAGCTGCATGAAAAGGGGCCTTAATTTGAAGAGGCATCCTCAACCATTGAAACTACT